TGATTATAAAAGATAACAATAATAGTTTGCCAACAAGCCCCAACCAACTCATGATGACCCCCAGATCATGGGATTTGCAAGGCAAGAGATGAGCAGAGGAGGTTTTGCTGTTGACTTCCTTTGCACAGCAACCCTGGTCTTCCTTGGCAGTCAAGGCCTCATTCACCTTACATATTCTGAATGGTAGTACCTGACATGTCTCAGCCCATATCCTCTTGACAGGCTCTGGCACATGCAGAGCTCCTTGTTCAGGAGGACATTTGACATACTCTGAGTAGCTTCTCAGGTGTGATATCATTAACCTCAGATGAGCGCCTTATTGGTCATTTATGTACTGTTCTGAGGAAGTCTTTAGGATTGTTTTTATTATCATTAATGATTATGTTCTTACCCACCTTTGGTTATAGCTATACTGTAGGAGAGGTAGGTTTATAGATATTTTAAGTAAATAAATCATTATGTTTAGGGCAAACTCTAGATGCTCAAACTTCTGCATTCCTTCTCCCGTAGAGCTAAATCAAGGGAGTTGGTTTTTATATTCATGAAAACATCTATTCTTCGGCGCTCAGCCTTCATTATGGTCCAACTCTCGCAGCCATACATTACTACTGGGAATACCATCGCTTTGACCATACGGACTTTTGTTGGCATGGTGATGCCTCTACTTTTTATTATGCTGTTTAGGTTCGCCATCGCTTTCCTCCCAAGGAGCAGGCGTCTTTTAATTTCATGGCTACAGCCACCATCTGCAGTGATCTTGGATTCCAGGAATGTGAATTCTTTCACTGCTTCCATGACTTCCCCTTCTATTTGCCAAGGAGTTGATGGGGCCGGATGCCATGATCTTAGTTTTTTTGATGTTGAGTTTCAAGTCAACTTTTGCACTCTCCTCTTTCACCCTCAACAAGAGGTTCTTCAGGCCCTCTTCACTTTCTGCCAGTAGAGTGGTCTGCATATCTGAAGTTATTGATGTTTTCCCCGGCAACCTTAATTCCGGCTTGTGAATCATCCAGGCTGACATTTTGCATCATGTACTCTGCATATAAATTAAATAAGCAGGGTGAAAATATACAATATACAAAGACCTACGCCCCTTTACAAAACAATGAGTTGTTACCGTTGAGAGCATTTGGTGCTTTTGTGGTAGGCTCTTGGCCCTTCATGCAATGAACAGGACTTGGAATGCAGGCAGAATGGGAGAGCGGCTCCTTCTCTATCCCGCTAAGAGGCTTACAGAGGGGTGTGCTCCGCAGGACCTCTAGCCAGCTGGCTCCAGTATGGAGTATTTCTTCAGCCTCCCAATCCTGGAATTATAATGTGATTTGGGGAAACTAGTGATAATCGCTGTATTTCCATATTTATAGAAAACTCACCGATATGTAGATAATAGCACACTGCGGTAGTTATGAAGTGCCAGATTTGATATAAATATGGAAATGCCTGGCTGGTCGCTGTGCCCTGTTTGCTAGGACTCCGCGCTGGCTTCAACCTCGTCAATTTCCATTGAGTTACTCTCCCTGTTCCCTGTCAGAGGAGAATTGGCCCCGAGGTTGTTAATTGTGAACTGATTTAGAACGATTTGCCTCTGAAAAGGGGTGCATAAATCCAAATAAATGCAGAAGGTTATTGCAGGCAGATGAAAATGGATCTGTCACATCACAACTTCCTCTTCTCCCCCCCCTCCCGAATTAAACCATTAACAAGCTTCAGTTCTAGTTATTATTTCACGGGATAGCCCCATGGCTTGTGATCTTGATGGGTGACAGAGAATAATGCATGAAACTGCCCGTCGGGCCAACGCACAGTTAGCAATTCTGCAGCAGTGTACAGTTAGAAAAGCCTTTGCATAAAATTCCATGTCGAATTGGAATTGGCTTGCTGGCACGAATTCCCGAGGGATTGCCTTCTTCCCCTGGGGAAACAGTATCCTGAACTTGTTCTATGCAACGGAAGACATTGGAAAGGGGCAGGTGCTTTGTACAAGTGTGTCAGAGAACTGGGGGAGTCACCCCCCCTCCGACTCATGCTATGTGTCAGACCATGATTTATTAGTTCTCAGGTACACCATTTCCTATGGCCAACTCAGCAGTTATTAACACTGAATGACTATTAAATCTACCTATCATGTTTTTTATTATGTCCATCCTCCAAGGGGTATGGGAGACCCAGATTCAAACCCAGTCTCAGCCGTGAAACTCACTAAATGGTTGGGCAATCATTCTCTCTCCCTCTCTCAACTCAACCTACTTCAGTGGATTGTCCTAAGACTGGAAGACTGGAGAACCACAGGGTGGACCTAAACAAAATTTCCCACCAATTCAACTTCCTGCTGCAGAAGAGGAAAAAGAAGAGATTGGATTTATTCCCCACCCTTCACTACCCAAAGGAGTCTCAGAGCGGCTTTCAAACTCCTTTCCCTTCCCCCTCCCCACAACAGACACCCTGTGAGGGAGGTGGGGCCGAGAGAGCTCTGACAGAAACTGCCCTTTTTCAAGAACAGCTCTTATCAGAGCTACGGCTTGCCCAAGGTCATCCAGCCAGGTGCAAGTGGAGGAGTGGGGGAATCAAACCCGGCTCTCCCAGATTAGAGTCCACGCACTTAACCACTACATCAAACTGCAGACCCCAAATTTGCCCCTTAGGCATTTTTGAGCACTCCCCTCCCACCCCCAGGAATAACATTTTGGTGAGATTGGTGGGCCGGGGGGGGGGTGAGGAAAGTTCTGCTGACAAAAGTGCTTTCCTTCAGCAGAAGGTTTAGTCTACATTCAACCCAATGTATGTCTGAACTGTTTGGAGGAACATAAGAACATAAGAGATGCCAATGTTGGATCAGGCCAAAGGCCCATCCAGTCCAACACTCTGTATCCCACAGTGGCCAGAAATACCAGTGCCATCAGGAGGTCCACCAGTGGGGCCAGGACATTAGAAGCCCTCCCACTGTTGACCCCCCCCCAAGCACCAAGATGACAGAGCATCACTTGCCCCAGAGTCCCTATCTATACCTTGTGGCTAATAGCCACTGATGGACCTCTGCTCCATATGCTTATCTAATTCCCTCTTGAATCCGTCCATGCTTGTAGCCGCCACCACTTCCTGTGGAAGGGTAGGATAAAAATGAGATAGAACTACAGGAACGGGGTACATTTTTTTTAAGGGAACACGTTGTCTCACGTGTCTCTTCCAGTGTGCTCAGGTTGTGAATGCCCCAGACTTTGGAAGGGAGGTCTGGGCAGCATTTGAGAAGCAGGGCTTTTTCAGTGGTGGCACCCAAACTGGAGAATTAACTAGCTAAGGAAGTCTACCGGCCACTCTAACTCATGGAGTTAAGAACATAACAATTGCCCTACTTATTCAGTCTAGTGGTCCATCTGGTCCAGCACCCTGTTTCACACAGTGGCCACTGGATGCCCAGGAGAGATGACAAGCAGGACGCAAAGGTGAAGGCCTGCCAGGGCTCAGATGTCTGCAGATTTTTGTTAATGGTTATTCTGAAGAGTTATCGAAATGGCAGATTACTTTAGGCTGGGTTTTTTTCTTTCTGATTTAATTTGTGGTGATGGGTTTTAATTTATTCCAAAAGTAGGGTTTTCTTTTTTGGGTGGGAAAAAGCATCATTTGTAAGTTTCTGGGTATCGTGAATTACTGTGATACCTGTAGCCGTACAAAGACTTTCAGTGGACTGACTGATGCTAGAAACGTTGATCACAACAGTGTTAAGTAGGCTCTTCTTGAACACAACACCATTCCAATTAAAAAGGAACCTTTTAACCTCATCTCTGGAGGGTTGAGGCTCATTGGGATTCAGGGTACACGTAGCACCGTCCAGTGTGGAGCTGTTACCAGTGACAGACGCCTGGAATGTGGCAGATCGTTCTTGATCTGATGGCAACAGAAATGAGTGGATTCCCAAGAACACTACCCCTGGTGGTCTTCTGGGAGAGCTAGGGTTGCCAACCTCCAGGTGAAGTCTGGTAATCTCCAGGTATTACAATCGATCTTCAGACGACAGAGATCAGCTCCCCTGGAGAAATTGGCTGCTTAGGAGGGTGGATTCTACGGCATTGTACCCTGCCAAGGTCCCTCCCTTCCCCAAACCCCACCCTCCCCAGGCTCCACCCACCAAATATCCAAGTAATTCCCAACCCAGAGCTAGCAACCCTAGCTGGAGTACACACTTTGCATGCCAAAAGTCTTAAGTTGAAACCCATTGCCACAACTGCCTGTAGCAAATGTGGTGGGGACAGGATAAATGCCTGCTGCAAAAGCATTTTCCTACAGCACGGGCTGCCCAAAACTTAAATAGCCACAGGGGTGGCTAGGGTTTCCAGGTGCGCCTGACCACTTGCAGGGGATGGGGGGTAGGGTTGCCAGATTCAGGTTGGGACACTCCTGGAGATTTGGGGATGGAATCGGGGGGGGGGGACAGGGACCTCAGTGGGGTGCAGTGCCATAAGGTCCACCCTCCAAAGCATCCATTTTCTCCAGGGGAACTAGTCTGAAGATAAACTGTAATTCCAGGGGATCCCCAGGTCCCACCTGGAGGCTGGCATCCCTAGGGGTGGCCCAGTGGGAATTTGTGCTTCATTTGAACAACTGGGGTTGGCACAACGATGTCTGCCCACTTGAAAGCAGCTGACAAACTTTGGGCGTAGCAGATTTTAATCTGCGGCAGGTGGATAAGAGCCTTTGTTCGGTGTATGGTCAAGAACTAAATCCGAGATGCCAGAAGATTCTCAGTAAAGGCCGCTTGTGTCTGACTCGTGGCCCAGTCCCGCCCCCACCCTTGACATAAAAAGTTATTACAGCTTTGCAGGCTCGGAGTCTTTTTAGCAATTCTTGGCTTACAGTACAAATCAGTGTTTTCTTCTCTGGCGTGAGCGTATTGGGGAATCTAATCAAATACAGCTGAGTCCCGCAACTCACAAATCAATTCCCTCGCAATAAATGATGAAAGGATTATTTCTTCCTGGGATGCTAACTGGACTTCCTTTCCGCAGCTCCGTCAGCACCATCCGTAATCAGCGCTACCACATCCACGCCAACCTGTCGTTCGCCATCTTGGTGGCTCAGATCCTGCTCCTTATCAGCTTCCATTTAAGCCCTGGAACGGTGAGTGCCAAATGGGTGGGGGACCTGGCGTGCCGAAACAGTTCCCCTCGTGATTAACCACAGTGCAAGGTCAACACAAGCTGGAGGCTCCTTTGTTTCCAGATAATTATCTGAGTATAATCAAAAAGCAGGAAGCTATTTTTAGCCGTTCAACAAACAAGACTTACGAGACCTCAAAAGTTAACAGGATACAATTTTTTCACCCCTGGACACTGTGGGATGCCACAAGATTGAGAACAACTTCTTCCTTTTTCACTGGAGTTGCATCTGTCATGATAGGACATTGTGCTTTACTGTCCAGCACAGATCGAAGACCAGACTCTTGGGGTTTCCTACCTGGCTTGGGAGTTGCTTTCTCTTGTGCCATTCCGAGCTACTTAAAAGACCTAACCATCCCCCATTATAGAAGGACATTTATGCTATCTGGGTTAAATCCCCCCCCCCTACTGGAAGGCCGATTTGCAGGCACAGCACATTCGGACAGAGATTGTAAATGTGGATCTGGGCAGGCTGAGTCCTGAGAGCATATTTTATCTGAGTGTGAAATCTGGTCTCTTTTGCGAGAAGGGTATTTGTCCTCCCTCTTAATAGACTATGTGAATTTATCATCTCAAAAAAATGTCCGTTTTTTCCTTGTGGATGAGGATCGGAAATGTATCTTGTGTGTATAAAATTATATCAAGTCACAGCCAACTTATGGTGACCCCAGCAAGGGACTTTCAAGGCAAGTGAGAAGCAGAGGTGGTTCACCATGGCTTTCCTCTACACAGTCCACCTTGGTGGTCTTCCTTCCAGGTACCGAACCTGCTCAGCTTCAGAGGTCTGATGAGATCTGGCTAAACCACGCCACCTTCCCTCCTAAAACTACCTTAGCAGTAACTAAATATTTAGCTGCGGTGATTGCCTGTAAGAGGGTTGGGTCTCGAGCTGTTTAAGACCTTTGAGTCAAAAGAACAGTAAGATAAGAAGAAAACTTGGCTTGGCCAGTCTAGAGGTCTTATGTTGCCTGCCTACCAAAGAAGCCAATGCTTATTCTTCTCATTGACTCTGTGGCGACATCCCTTATAGTCCTGATTAGCTCTTCAGGCAGAATCCGTGTGTGTGTGTGTGTGGGGTCTAATTTCAACTGCCCATCTCCTGATTTACTTATGAACTCAGTTGAACCAGAAGGACTCTGCAACAACTCAAAGGCAATAAGCAAACAGCAATGAACTCCAACCTGAAGAATGAATTTGGTAAATTTATGGTCCCCACTGAAGAAATGTTAAGAATTTTATCAAAACTCTTTTGGATTCTCTGAAAATCCACCAAATGTTTTGCTTGAACTGGAGTTTATGCATTTGTTTGAGGGGGGGGAATGGTGGCAATACAGGGGTGTATGAAACCCCTCCTGAGAAATTTCACAAACCTTCTTTTAAAAAGTTTGGATTTCCTCAATATTCCTCTAGGAATGGTGAGGGAAACCTGAGGAATGTTGAGGGAAACATCGAAATTATTTTTTTATTCATTCATTTATTCAATTTATACCTCACTCTCCCCACCGAAGCAGGCTCAGGGGCGGCTTACATAAAAGGTTAAAACACATGAATCAACAGTTATGAAACAATCATAAGCAATCCGAACTATCATAAAGTGCTAGTGACAGTGGTACTAATACTAATAGTATTGCATAGAGATGGGGGAAACAAATCATGATGGAATAGTCAAAGTGGGATACGGTCGATGTTGATGATCGGCTCATCTTGATCTATTTATGCAGCAGGCACTGGCTGCTGGTGGTAGTTACGGAGGAACAGGGCTTTATCACATTTCAGTTATTAGATGTGGCTCCTTGATTGAAGACCTGTTGGAAGAGCTCCGTCTTGCGGGCCCTGCAGAACTGTGAAAGGTCTCGCAGGGCCCTGATGTCTTCTGGGAGCTTGTTCCACCAGTGCAGAGCCACCTCTGAGAAGGCCTTGGCACTGGTTGTGGCCAGCATGCCATTTCGCTGACAATGGAACCGCAGTGTCAATTCTATCTCAGAGTGGTGGCTGCATATGTCTGGAGGTGGGGAGTTAGCCACATAAACTAGCACAGGATCTTATGGTGCAGGCAGAATGTTAAGAACGCTATATGTTTTCTGTGGTTTTTCACAGCTTCATTAAACATTGGCTGCCTTGGCCTCATAATGCTTCTATCATTCGTTAGGGGTTTTGCTCATGGCCTTTTAGTTCTACACTAGTCAGTACAAATTAAACATGACAAATGTACACACTTTAATTCTGAGCAGCATGAATCTGAAGGTAAAGTCATATATTAATCATAGACAGCACTTGGACCATGATGTAAGTAATAGTATTAATCATTATCACGGAGCTTTATTTCCGGATCTCACAACATTGGGCAGAATCCTGGTCTCATTAGCTTGATTTAACTGCTGGAGAAATAGAAAGGTCAGATAGCCAGTAGACTTTCATGTCTCTGTTTCACGGCTTGACCATCTAACCACTGCATGTCAGCACAGACAATGCTGAACCAGATGTTATTGTTTACGTTTATGAGCATATGGGGAGCAGTGTTCCCTCTAAGCTGAGTTAGTGTGAGCCAGCTCACAGTTTTTTAGCCTCCAGCTCACACATTTTTGTCTTAGCTCAGGAAGGATGGCTCCAGAGCAAACTCATTTATGCAGTAGCCAGATTGCTTGCTCACAACTTTTTCGCCAGGAGCTCACAAAGTAGACTTTTTTCGCACAAGACTTCACAGCTTAGAGGGAGTATTGATGGGGAGGGGCTGTGGCTCAGTGGTAGAGCCTCTGCTTGGCATGCAGAAGGTCCCAGGTTCTATCCCCAGCATCTCCAGCAGGAAGGAAGAGGCAGGAGGTGATGTGAAAGACCTTTCCCTGAGACCCTTGAGAGCCGCTGCCAGTCTGAGTAGACAACACTGACTTTGATGGATTGACGGTCTGATTCAGTGTAAGGCAACTCCGTGTGTTCGTGTGAAACTGCCTTATATGGAGTCAGATCACCTGTCCAGTGAGTTCAGGACTGTCTGTGCTGATGGACAGCAAACCTTCAAGGGCTACAGTTGCCAGTCTCCAGGTGGGTCATGGAGTTTTCCGGGAATGGCAACTGCTTTCCAGACTACAGACTACGGAAATTAGTCCCCTTGGAGAAAAAGGCTCCTTTGAAGGAAGGGGTCTATGGCATTGCATCCCTGCTGATCTCCCTCCCCTCCCCCCCCAAAGATGACCCTCCCCAGGATCTGCCTCCGAATTCCCAGTAATTTCCCACTTCGGAGTTGTCAGCCCGATCAAGAGCCATGGCTGACCTTTGCTCCCATATCCCAAAATTAAGATACCAGACAAAATGCAAGAGTCAAACTAGGCTTTCCTAATTCCAATATGAACTGCGCATTAAACGCATGTGCCACATTCTGTGGGCTCCCTAAGAGGCTGCCCACTGGGTTTGTCAGCATTTAGGCAACCCACCGTGGCTCCAAGGTCGACAAGCCCTCAGGCCACAGCTGCGTTTCCTCGCCTGCAGCAAACTTGTGCAGAGAGACGTTGCCCTGCATCCCCCATCCCCCCACACGGTTCAAACACTGATACACAGCACTGCAAGATTAACCCCTGCCAGCCCTCTGGAACTCTGCATCCACCTTCTGCCATCCCCTCATAGTCCTGAAGGCACCAGGGTTTTGGGATGGGGAAAGAAGAAGAAAGGCTGCCTGGTCCAGTGCAGTCAATGAGCAAGCAGAGAACGGTAGACTACTGATCCAGGCAAGTGAAAGGTCAGAGGCAAGACCAAGCTGAACAGGGAGCAGGACAGGGATGCCAACTCCAGCTTGTGAAGTTCCCGTAGATTTGGTGATAGTTCCTGGAGAGAGTGGAATTTGGGGCGGGGAATGAGGTCAGCAGGGATGTCATTCCATAGTGTCCACTCTTCAAAGCAGCCATTTTCCTCCGGGGTGATTGATCTCAGTAGCCTGGATTTCAATTGTGATTCTTGGAAAACTCCAGGCCTGTGGTTGCCAACTTCCAGGTGGCACCTGGAGATCTCCCCCTGTTACAGTTCTCCAAGATCCGTTCCCCTGGAGAAAAGGGCTGCTTTGGAGGGTGGACTCTGTGGCATTATACCCTGTCGGAGTCCCTCCCCTCCTCAAACCCCACCCTCCCCAGGCTCCACCCCCCAAATCTCCAAGTATTTCCCAATCTGGAGCTGGCAACTCTATCTAGGACCCACCCGGAAGATGGCAACCCTAGGGTAGAAGTAGCTGCAGTTTATCCTAAATTTCTGTATAGATTTGTTTGCAGAAAGATTGGCCAGGAGACCTAAGTTCCCATGCCTTCAGGGCCCTTCTCTTGGTTGCCCAAGCTGCGGTATCCATTTTTGATGCCCACCTGAAGAGACACTTTGCCCTCTGATAGCACACCTGAGAAAACTGCTGAGTCACAAACTGCTGGGAGAAGAGAGGGGGGAAAAACCCAAAAAAAACAAAAACTCAAAATGGATTTGGTTTTAGAGGGGAAATAAAAACTTGGAGAGGATGAAGCTGAGCAGAACAAGATATAATCAGCAACAGAGAAGAAGGCAGGAAAATATACAATGAAATAATCCCCAATAAATCAGTTAGACAGTGTGTGACTCCTAAGAGACAACAGGAGCCGGGGGGGGGAAATGAAAATGAGCGTGGGGAGCAAATGGAAGAAAAAGGATGGCTTATTGTCATGGTCACTATCTTTTCATTTCCTCAGGCTGCCACACATAAGCAGTGGAGGTGCCGTCCCATGTGGGGAGCAGTGCCTGTGTTCTCACGCTAGGGGGCTGCAGCTGAGTGCCAGAGCACCTGCTTTGCATGTGGAAGGTCCCGGTGTAACAGGCCAGATTAACCCCCCGGCCAGAGTAACCCCGGGGTTACTCTGGCCTAGCCTAGAATAACCCCGGAGGGTTCTGGCCCCACTGGAGGGCCTCCCGATGGCACCTGGGTTTTGGCATGATCCAATGTGGCCTAACTTATGTTCT